CCTAGGGACCAGGCCTGCAGCCCGGGGGGGGGGGGGGCGAGGGCTCCTCTTGAGATGAGGGGAACTCACGGGGCCGCTGCCGCCCAAACCACAAAAAGCTGCTGCAGCGAGAGCCCAGCCTACGGCTGGGCAACCCAGCAGCTAGCACGAGCACGGTCAGTCCTAGGCAACACGGCGTTGCCGGCGTACAACCCTGCCCCAAAATCCTCCCCAGCACGCCGCCCACCACGCGTCGTGCTGCTGCCCCTCTGTTGCTCTGCGCAGGCGCCGGCCGTGCGCACCACCACCCTGCCCGACGGCCGCGAGGCCGCCACAGTCGATTTTGTTGCGCTGCCCGTCAAGGCCACAATCAAGCCCGACGGCCAAGTGCGTTTTGAAGACCCGGACGCGCAGCTGAAGCGCAACGCCACTGCGGACCCCCAGGACGACACCGCCGACCTCACCCGGGCGGACCCCGTGACAGAGGCCGTCCAGGCTATTGGCGGCTTGCTCGGCGGCGCGGCCCCCGACGTGATCCAGGGCCTCGTGGGCGCGGTCAGCGGCGCAGTCAACGGCGCGATCCAGGGCGCCGCCGGCGCGGCCGGCGGCGCGGTCCAGGGCGCCGCGGGCGCAGCAAACGGCGCGATCCAGGGCGCCGTCGGCGCGGTCAACGGCGCGGCCGGCGCGTTGACCGGCGCCCTCAACGCGGTCGGCGGCGCCGTCAACGGCACCCTGGACCCCGACGGCGACGGGGACATCGAGCTGACGGTCAACCCTACGCTGTCGCTGACTTTGACTCCCTTCTCCCTGGACCCCACCCTCCAGCTGGCCGCGAACCCGACCCTGTCGCCCACCAGGCAGAGCACACTGGCCGCGTCAACGCTGGCGCCCTCCTTGTCTGGCGTGCTGTCGCCCACGAAGCAGCCGTCCCTCTTCGAAGGGGTGAGCACCCGCGAGACCCGAGGGCGGCCTGTGCCGCCCCATTGGTATTGTGCGCTTGATGCGGCCGGAATAAGCGTCTTCATGGCGCGCGGTGCTCAGCCTGCTCAGCAGCTTGGGCAGCCAGCAGTTGTCGCTCCAGCCCTGTCTGGGCTGCACATCGCTTGGGAGGCCAACGATTATCCGCGGCCACTGACTTGTTGTAAACTGCATCTTGTCTATGGTTCCGGCGGTGTGGGTTGCCTTTTCCGCTGCCGCACTCGCCCAGCGTCAAGCCCGGGCAGGGGGCTGCGGCAATTACCCACTCTTGAGTCCTTTGGCTGGCACACAGGCGCGTGGCGCCCGCCTCGCTCCATCCCCTCCATGAGTCATCCCACCTTCCACTTGCCCCGCCCTGCCCCCGCAGCTCGTGCCGACTGTGCAGCCCACCGCCGCCCTCGGCATCACAATCCCGGCGCCCGAGCCAGCAGAGT